GTTGTCACTGGGAACGTATACACAGTTCCACTCCATCACGTTAGTACCTTTATCCTACTTATCCCACAGCTGTAACTGGCACTTAGATTGCATTGTTTCATGTAATGACATCATATAACTAAAATCTTTCATCAGCCCCAATCTTAAAAGTGCAGTCTACAAGTACAGAAAGCTGACCCGCTACATACTCAGAGCTAGTGGTACAGTATATACGTCTACCTAGATATTTCTTCTTTTGAGTTTCTCGGATATAACCGAGACTGCCTCACAGGACCTTTTTTCTGCCTTTGACATTTTGGCAAACACAGGGCAAACAAAAAGTGAATGTTAGGAATAATTTTTGCTTTTGAAGAGTGGCAAACAGGACAAGTCGTGACTTCCTTATGTGGAGGCTGGATAGTATTGTCAACTCTTGCGCTTCCACAACTGGGGAGTCAGGGCAACTCAACAGTATGTTGAGTATTACAGTCTTGTACAATACAACTTTCTTTATCTTCTTCATTCAGTTGATCCCTTTGAAGGTCACTAAAGTGGACCCATCTCAGCATATCTCTAGCATCCTCTTCTGTTACACCAACCTTCTGCATTTCCTCCTTCGTTTTAATCCATGAACTTCCCCTGAGGTCTTCCTCTTGTCCTAATGCCTGGCAGCTCCAACTTCCTTTGTCCAACATATCCACTATATCTTCTCCACCAGCCCTCGTCTGCACTTACCACTCTTACTTTGTCTTCAAGCTGTTCAACCTGAGCTGTCCCTCTGATGTACTCATTTCAACTCTTGTCCATCCTTGTCACTCCCAGTGAAAATGTTTGTGGCTGGGTATACTGGCAAGAGGCAAACTATAAGCCGTGTAGAAATGCAGAATGCGTCTGTTTGTTTGTTTTTTAAATCAAAGCAGAAAATTCAGAAATAGCTGAGGATCAAGTGTGTCTGATCAGGTGTGATCAGCTGGTATGTCTCTATTACAGTTGTTAGTGTTTTGTAATTTATAAGTGCTTTTTATTCTAATTAATTTTGAATTTTTGTCTTCACTTTAGTTTCACTGAGTTTCCAGAATGGTTTTGCTCTTATCTGTTTAGTTTTAGTTTGGTGCTAAGATATCACCCAGTGTTAGCAAGCCTGGTTAGCAAACTCCTTTCATAAAATGTAAGAATGCAGTACAGAGAAACTTAAAGATCAGTAAACTACTAGAATTTTGCTCACCCAAACTGAAGGGCAGACTTCTGGGATGGTATGTAAGCACACAGCAAGCCAGCATATTAGTCAGATAATCCATGAAAAAATGCACATGCACTGAAGTTTGATAACCTCAAGTAGAGGATGAGACCTGATGGCACTAATTCACCACTCCCCTAACTCCAGATGGATGAGTAATAAAAAAAAAAAACACCCTCAGTTCTTATAGAGGGATAGCCACATCACCAGCCGGGCGCATGGGCAGAATGGACAGCCAACACTGTTAACATGACAATTAGGTGACACAGGATTTTCAAGAATTTTCTCAGACGAGTTTAAATATTGTTGAACTTGACCTCAAAGTTAATTTGTTGGTCAAATTTTCTGAAAATTTTGCGAATATGATAAGAAGGAAGTCAATTAAGATTTTCACATTTATATAATTTGCATCTAATAAGAAGTAGGAGGGCTAGCAAAGGCAGTACATTTTTTTTGTACCAGGCTGTAAACATGCTTTTTAATGTTGGGAGTCAATGGGACTGACTTTTAAGTGGCGACTCGAGGAACTGCAGTTTTTATCTCCTCTACATTTCCTCCATTTTCCAGCTCTTGAGGATGGTTCCTTCACCTCAAACAAAAGCAACAACAAGATGAAGGATTAACAAATTGTGAAGATAACAATAAGTATATTATGCTTATTTGGAACATCGGTCAGACCCTGAGCCACTGGTGGAGGTGTTGGTGGTTCAGTCATATTCAGGCATAGCACCAGACATTCATGCCTGATCAGCACTTTTATTTTTGACATGTCATGTGTGGTACAGAGTTATGTCATATACCCTCAAGAAATATCATTGTCATTATTTGGAAAAGTAAAATCTCTAACAAGAGGAGAGAAAAACCCAAAAACTTCATTTCTATTCTTCTATTTTTTCTTTTCTTAAATTATGTTAGATAAGAAAAAGTTAGACCTATTTTACACAGCCCAAATATATTTTGAGCTTCAGTCGTGTCTAGCCTGTATTCAGGTGGGCTATAATGAAACAAAAGCACCACAAAATTCTGTTTTCTCATGAATTCCTTCTTCCTTTTTTCAATAATCACACTGCTGAATGCCGTACACGTTATTTTGTCAGTCTCACCAGCTTAGCCCCTAGCATTTTTTCAGTGCCCATCAGTCTCACCCACAAAGACCACAAAGACCAAGCTGGCATCTTTTCAAAAGGCAAGTTACAATTACTTGGCCACAAAATCCACTCTGTGGAGTGTTGTTACTACATTCAATTTGCCCTCAAGTGATCGCAACAGAGAGGGAGTCCAAAAAAAAGCTGATTCTTGTGACTGGTT